CCCCCCAGGCCAAGGCCCGATAGGGCCAGGGGGAACCCAGCCCCACCGGGCAGCCACCGGGCCGAGCCGGAGCTGGATTGGACGTTTTCAGAAGAGGGACAGTGGGTATATTGGTTTAGACGTGTCCAGAGGAGGGACGGTGGGTTTATTGGTTTGGACATGTCAAGAGGAGGGACTGTGGGTATTATGGTGTGGACGTGTCCAGAAGAGGGATAGTGGGTATATTGGTGTGGACGTGTCCAGAGGAGGGAGGGTAGGTGTATCACTGTGAATGTGTCCAGAGTATTGACGGTGGGTATATTTATTTGGACGTGTCCAGAGGAGGGACCGTGGGTATATTGGTGTGGACGTGTCCAGAAGAGGGATGGATGGTATATTTGTTTAGACTTGTCCAGAGGAGGGACAGTGAGAGTATTGGTGTGGACATGTACAGAGGAGGGACAATGGGTGTATTGGYGTGGACATGTCCAGAAGAGGAATAGTGGGTATATTGGTGAGTACGTGTCCAGAGGAGGGACGGTGGGTATATTGGTTTGGACATGTCCAGAAGAGGGACTGTAGGCATATTGCTTTAGAAGTGTCTAGAGGAGGGACGGTGGGTATTCTGGATTGGACGTTTCCAGAAGAATGACGGTGGGTATATTGATTTAGATGAGTCCAGAGTGGGGACGGTGGGTATTATGGTGTGGACKTGTCCATAGGAGGGACAGTGGGTATGTTGCTGTGGTCATTTCCAGAGGAGCGAGGGTAGGTGTATTGCTGTGAATGTGTCCAGAGGATTGACGGTGGGTATAATTGTTTAGACGTGTCCAGAGGAGGGACCATGGGTATTTTGGTGTGGACGTGTCCAGAGGAGGGACAGTGAGAGTATTAGTGTGGACGTGTCCAGAGGATGGACAGTGGGTGTATTGGTGTGGATATTTCCAGAAGAGGAACAGTGGATATATTGGTGTGTACATGTCCAGAGGAGAGACGGTGGGTATATTGGTTTGGACGTGTCCAGAAGAGGGATGGTGGGTATATTGGTTTAGACATGTCCAGAGGAGGGACGGTGGGTATGTTGGTGTGGACTTTTGTCCAGAGGAGGGAGGGTAGGTGTATTGCTGTGAACGTGTCCAGAGGATTGACGATGGGTATATTTGTTTGGACGTGTCCAGAAGAGGGATGATGGGTATATTGGTTTAGACATGTCCAGAGGAGGGACGGTGGGTATGTTGGTGTGGACTTTTGTCCAGAGGAGGGAGGGTAGGTGTATTGCTGTGAACGTGTCCAGAGGATTG